CTCCTCCTCCTCCTCCTCCTCTTCCTCCTCCTCCTCCTCCTCCTCCTCCTCCTTTTCCCTTCTCCTTTCTCCTCCTTCTTCTGCTTTCCTCCTCCTCCTCCTCTATCTCCTCCTTTTCCTCTTTGTCTTCCTCCTCCATCTTCTTCATCTCCTCCTTTTCCATCTTCTCCTTCTCTTCTTTCTCTTTCTCCTCCTCCTGACTGCTAATTTCTGCATTTCAGCACCAGCCTGCTGGAGATAACACTGTCACCTCTTAAGATTCCTCACCTGCCCGCTATTAGTGTTGGTGGGAGTGTTTTTGGTGGAACAAGCAACCAGCAAGAACATCAAGGAACTACCAAGAATACTCCCACCATCACTGATTGGGCAAGCCACTTACATAAAGAGAGCAAATCCCATTCCCTTCTAGCATTGATGATGTCACCTAGTTTGGTAGTGAAACATCTGTAAGAAAACCACCAAGCTCAGAGAGCATCAGGTTCAACCCTGAGCTACAAATATTCGCTTCTATCACTCCAAGGCAACTATTGAACAACTGATTCTTACTTTCCTTTCAGTTTTAGGATCTTGAATAACGAAAACTCAAACCATTTCCTTATGTTTAACTATGCACTGCGATGGTTTGCATTGAGGACAGATATTCTCATGAGCTTCATGATGTTGACTGTAGCCCTGTGTGTGGTCCTCAGCCATTCTTCTATCAGTACTGCAGAAAAAGGCTTGGCTCTATCTTATTCTCTCCAGGTAAAAATTTGGTGGGTAGGATCTTCAAGTAACTCATCCTTCATTTTCCGAGTGTAGACTAGGGTGATATTAATACCATAAAAAGAATGGGTTTACAACATGTGAATGAATATTGTCAAGAGCCTGGGAAATCAGGAGATTCAGGAAGTTCAAATGAGTATAAAGCTTTATTGCAAGCTTAAGTTCTCTACAAGAATCTGGCCAAGTAACTGTTAAGAGAAATCCATAGGAGTTGAGAATAGCAAGGAATTCAAGGAGGGCTGGACTTAGATCTCATGCAGGCATCTCCTGCATCTCTCTCTCTCACCTTCCAACAAGTTCAGGAGAGTGAGAATATACAGGCACACAAACATGCACACAGAGAGAAAGGTGGGGGGAGAGATTTGTAACTGCAGGCTGTCCTTGACTTGCAATCACAGTTGGGACCAAAGTTCCATTGCTAAGCAATGCAGTCATTAAGTGAGTCACACCTAATTTTACAACCTTTTTTGCCACAATTGTTAAGCAAATACAGCTTCGTTTATTGATAGAAATTCTGCTTATATATAGCACCACAGAGCAACAAAGAATACAGTCACCATGTGCTTTACTCCTCAACTGTTTTAGTGAAACAGGAAACTCTACTTAGAACAAAAGAGCATAAAGAACATAGCATGGATGCAAACTTGTAGACACTGCCATCTACTGGCTGAATACTACTTACTTATTGCATAGAAATGTATTCCAACAGTAAGTTCCAACACTTGTTAAGGACTTTGCTTGTCACAAGGCACCTGGGAAGGTCACAAATAGCAGTCATGTGACCCCGGGATGCTACAACTCTTGTAAATGCATGCCAATTGTGAAAGCACATGAATCATGGTCATACTGACTATGGTGATTATGTGTCCCACTTAACAAACATCTCAGTTAGCAATAGTTCAAGTATGGTCAAAAGTCAAGGACTACCTCTGTACCTCCTTCCATAAAGAATGGGCCTGAAATGATGAAAAGCTTCCGGAGAAGGAAATGGCATTGTATTTTTGTATCGAACTCAGAATCAAATAGTGAGACTTGGAATTCTTCCATCCTAAGCCCATCTCCTTTTTCAAACGCATACTGCAGCCCCCAAAGCGGATTGTTAAAAACATCCACGGAAAAAAGCCATGTGCAGCTTTCTCTGTATGGTGGGTCTCAGGATACCAATTTAAAATAACACACACACACACACACACACACACACACACACACACACACACACCAAAGCAAACCCGGCCCTCTGGTAGAACACTTTCCCACCTACCACTTTACTATACTCCTGCAAGTTTTGGAAGCTTTTATCTCATATTTGGGGGAAACCTGCTCTGTCCTTTGATATCGTGGCTTTATCCTCTCCTGGCCAATATATTCTGTATTGAGCCAATGATGCTCAAAAATGCAAATGGCCTAAGCCAGTGATGGCTAACCTTTTCATCGTTGCGTGCCAGAAGTGCACACGAGTGCCTGTGAATGAATGAATGCATGCGCTACACCTCCCCTGTCCCCTGCGCATGCATGTATGACCCCTCCCGTGTGCCCCGCCCACCCCCATGCATGCGCGGCAGATATCGGACAATCAGCTGGCTGGTGGGAGGCATGCGCACATGTGCAGTGGAGCAGTTCCAGGCGACTGCTTGCATGCCAGTAGGAATGGCTTTGTGTGCCACTTCCAGCATACGTGCCATAGGTTTCCCATCACGGGACTCAGCAAACAATTTGCCACAGGTGAGCTGCCTTTTCTTTTAAGGTATTTTGCTTGCATGACAGCAATTTTAAGGACAATAAAAATTACAACTGCATGGGTATCCCCCAATTATGACTGTTCATTTGGTGACCGTTCAAAGTTACGATGGCACTGGAAAAAGTGAGTTGGATGACCGTTTTTCATACTTACGGCCGTTGCAGCATGGTCAGCTGATCAAAATTGAGAGGCCTGGAAATCGGTTCGTATTTATGACAGTCACAGTGTCCCAGGGTCACGTGATCCCCTTTTGCGACCTTCGGACAAGCAAAGTCAAGGGGGGAAAGCCAGGGTCAGTTTTCCAAGTGATGAAATCCATTTGAAAAGAAAAGAGCAAAGTCCACCTTCCAAAACAATTTCTTTTATTTAGGAAAGCATCAAATTGGCAACATCTATTGTAATTCTGGATCTGACACAACCCGGAATTATACCACATAATATTGGAAGTTAGAAACAGCCCCCAAAAGTCACATTCCCCAATAGAAGTAAATCAACATTTGCCTGGTGTCATCAGTCTCTATCTCCAGGTCTCAGCAGGGTCAGCTTTTGTTCCCACGGGAAGAAGAACCACCCAGCCTAAACAATTCTCTCTCCACTCCTCCCACCGTAGGAATGTGGCGAGCCTGAAACCCTCCCCCCCCCATAACCAGCAAAGAGAAAGAAAGAAAAGGAATATATAATAAGGCTAAATAAAATGGCTGTGCATATGTCAATTTCGGGCTTGACAGCCAGATTCACTTAACAACTGCGTTCCTAACTTAACAAATATGGTGATCCATGTAACAACTGTGGCAAGAAAAGTCATAACATGGGGCAACACTCCCTAAGCCAATGTTTCACTTAGCAACATAAATGTTGGGCTCCGTTGTGGTTGTAACTCAAGGGCTATTTGTACATTTTTCATGCAATTTTGATCATAATTTTAATAATTGATCTACTCCCGTTGATCCACCCTTCCAGCACATTTCCAAAAAAGGAAATCCCAAATTACATTCACGTGAATTCCAGAAGACGAGAAGTTCCATGTTGGATCGGATCTGCATTTATCTAATATTCTGGTGTCATAATAGTGGCCAGAATTTCTTAAACAGAATATGTGTACAGCCACACCCTGGCTACTGTTCACCCACAATAGGAGTCAAGAGATTTCTAGTTTGTGAAATGGGATTTTTGATAAGCCAAGAGGCTTATCCTTCCTGGATTTCTCTAATCCCCTTTCAAATTCATTCCTGATTTATTTATTGAGGCCATGTACATATGCTGCCTACCAGTGATGGGATTCCAAATTTTTTTTTACTACCATTTCTGTGGGCGTGGCTTGGTGGGCATGGCATGGCTTGGTGGGCATGGCAGGGGAAGGATATACTGCAAAATCTCCATTCCCTCCCCACCCCACTAACCTGCTTTCCAGCTCCGTTCTCCTATGCAGGGCAACAAAAGAAGACCCAGCCGATCATCTGGGACTTGGGAGGCAGAGAATAGATGGGGTTGGCGGGGCCAGTCAAAGGCAGTATTTGCCGGTTCTCCGAACTATTCAAAATGTCCACTACCGGTTCTCCAGAACTGGTCAGAACCAGCTGAATACCACCTCTGCTGCAGTGGTGGGATTCAAATTTTTTACTACCGGCTCTGTGGGCGTGGCTTGGTGGGTGTGGCAGGGGAAGGATACTGCAAAATCTCCAGTCAGAGGTGGTATTTGCTGGTTCTCCGAACTACTCAAAATTTCCGCTACCGGTTCTCCAGAACTGGTCAGAACCTGCTGAATACCACCTCTGCTCTGCTGTCTACTCATGCAAATCTACAGTACTGTGGTTTGTTTGTAACTATGAAACTGTGCTGGAACTGGTTGGATTTGTTCCTTCAGAAGATCTCTCCATAGAGTAAGGTTTCCTACGATCTCTCTTTCCCCGTTGTTTTTTCTAGCTAAGTGGACTTCTTCAAGTATGCGTGAGATCGTGCATTGAAGTGCAAGCCAGATTTACTTCTGTGGAGCAGATAACCGAATACATTGTGGTAAGAAAGGCTCCCCGTCAGAGGAACGAATGCTGAGGTTTCCATGTTGTTTTTCATGCGCCCCAAACACAAAAATAATATTTGCAGAAAGCCAGAACACGATGCATAAATCAATAGAAGTTGTTGTTGTCATGGTTGAAGTGCTGGTGTAAATACAGTATCGAGTTGGCATTTACTGGTTTATAGATCTAATTTTCCATTTCTTCTTTTAACTGAAAGTGACTCAAATGTCAAGTGTCCACTGCTATAATTACGTAAAACATTAGTTTTAAGTAATAGGTGAAAGAAAGGGGGGAAGGGTTCTTTTTCATACATTTAACTCCCCCAATTTTTAATTTTAGAATGTCTCTTGGAACAAATGCCATAAATAACCAACCAATAGCATGAGCCTCAAATTATGGAAATGTTCAACTTCTGGTAATTCCAATCTCTAACTAAAGTTATGATTGATACTCTAATGGGCGGTAGCAATAACCTTGAGGATCAGAAGGAAAGTGGCCCAAATAAGAAACCGGTCAAACAAAAGAAATTTAAGTTGAAAGCAGAAATGTAAATTCAGAAAGCATCTCATTTTTGATGTTCCCTAGTTCTCTAGAAGATAAAAGAAAAGAGGAAGGACATGCATTCAGATTTGCAATACAGGCCGCCCTCGACTTACCACACAATTGAGCCCAAAATTTAGTGCCGACTTTGGAAGCCATATTGAGATTCGATGCTGCCACAATTGAGCCTGAGAAAGTGGGAGGGAGGAATTCATTTGAGTATAACTAGTGAGACGAAATAAAATTATTTTATTGGTTCAAGGTCACGGAATGTGGCACATAATGAAATGGGAATCTGTTATGGTTAGCCGGCAGCAGGTGCAGACGGGTGAGGAGAGTGAGGACTCAGATGAGGGGGCCAGGACCATTAGGGAGTGGACTGCTGCCTTCAGAGATTGTGGGGGCTGGCAGCAGTGATGAGGAGGTTCCTGAGGAGCCTGTGCCAAGTGCATGTGCACTAAGGATTGCTTGGAGGAAAGAACAATTACAGCAGCACAAGCGACTCGGGAGTAAGGCTGCAAGGTAATGGCCCCTCCTTCAAAAAGATAAAAGTCAGCTGTGAACGAGTGTACTTTGCAGAAGGCAAAGACGTTCTGAAACCCCAGCCTCGTGGACATTCCAGTATCCTGAATTTGTATTTGAAGATTCTTGTATTGCAAATTATTTCTTGTCTGTTATCTTTTGGCAAGTCTTGCACAGTTTGGCAAGGCTTGTGCTTATCACAGCTAATCATTTTGCAAAAGCATTGCAAGGTTTCTGTTCCTTTTGGATTGTGTTTGATTTGTTGGAAAAGGGTGTGGGTCAGAACAGAATCTTACTTTGGGACAGATGGTGATTGGATCATGGGATGTGGTGATGGCTAAGGGGGAAATGGATTTGTAGTTTTGACTTTTTCAAGGAAGCCTGAAACTTTCAGATTCGGGATTCCACAGATGTGCCAGTTACTATCCCAATAAAGGAACCTTTGAGAAATCTCTGTCTTGGAGTTATTGGTTGGATTGGAGGGTTGCTGGAACACTGACATTTAGGCGGCTAAGTGAGACATGTGTTAAGGGACTTTTGCCCCAGGTTACAACTTTTCTTTGCATTGTTGTTAAGTGAATCACTGCAGTTGATCAATTAGTAACTGGGTTGTTAAATGAGGTATGGCTTCCCCATTGATGTTGCTTGTCAAAAGGTTGCCCAAAAAGGTGATCACATGATCCCAGGACACTCCAACCGTCATAAATACAAGTCAATTCCCAGTCTGAATTTGGATCATGTGACCATGGGATGCCTCAATGGTCATAACTATGAAAAACAGTCAAAAGTCACACTTTTCAGTGCTATTGTAACTTTGAAGGGTCAGTAAGCGAACTGTTGTAAGTCAAGGACTACCTATATTCTCTTATGGTAACCTTATAATACCATATATTATAGTAACTGTTATAATAAAGCTTATAATTGATTCTTGTCTACCACAAAAGGCTGACAGATATGGATTCCAGATGCTCTTTCTTTGTTTCCACCAGAAATGCACTCCTGAAGGATCAGAGATCCCTCCCGTGATCACCCCTCCTCCAGGCTGGCCCGATCAGGGGGAAATCATTTTTAAAAACTATCAGATGAAATACCGAGAAAATAGTCCTATTGTACTCCATGACATCAACATCCACATTCATGCTAAAGAAAAAATTGGGATAATTGGCCGGACAGGTTCAGGTATAATCTACTCTGTCGATTGCTTTGTACATTGTACAGATAATGAAATGCCTGTTTCTTTATTATTTACTCAAGTATGGGAATAAATGGGGAGGCATTGGAAAGACCGAGAAAGTGAACACATAACTTTTTGACCTGACCGATGGAGATCCTACATTGTACTGAACAATTTAAAAAAAAAAAAACAATTTCATCCCCGATACAGTTCTTCCTTTTACCCCCCCCAAAAAATGTATGGCATTCTTTGGTTTTGTAATGGTATGTGAGAAGGACCTTGGGAGACAGGAGGAAGAACCAAGAGATTAAGTAACAGTCAGATGAGTCAGATGAATCCTCAGAATATGTGGGAACATGGCAAACTTCTCAGAAGGACCCTGTTTATTTTCTTGGATTGTATAGGTGAGTTAGGGAGAAATGAACTTTCAAACTTGCCAGATTCTGTTTTATGATAAAGTAGAGCTAACACTCCTATTTTTGCTTCTTGTCTGAACTATCTTCCAAGGCTGACATCCATCTTGCAGTTGGTTAGTCTTACAAATAGGGGATGGGAATGAACATTTCCTGCAGACATGGAAAAAATGATTATAATGTTTAATGGATTCAATTGTGGGTTCCTAACTATAAGGACATTTCCTTCTTACAGACCATGGAAGTAGTAACAGTGGGACTTACACAACTGTGAATTCAGTTAGAAGGCATCACGGGTAATAGGTGTGAAGTCTATGGTACCAATGCCACCAGAAGCCCCCACATTCAATTGACAAAATGTTAAAATAACTTCCTAGATATATTGTGGTATAGAATAGTTTGCATCAACCAACCATTTCCTATACTGCAGTTATTAATCCATACCTATTTTAGGATATTTCCTTCCAAGGTAGTTTTGGTTAATGCAAAAGCATTGGAATAATCATATAGATTTTTACATGTGGAATTTTATATAATGATATACAAGCTTTCCCTACTTACACAAGGCTGGTATCATATTCCCTCAGGTTATAGCAAAGCATTTTCCCCAATCCAAAAGAAAACAACGAAAAGAATTTGAATTAACCTGAATCTATCAGTTTGAATCCATTTTGCTTCTAACTGCTGAAATGATGATATTTGGGACCAGTTGCACTTCGGCAAGCCTTCAAACAAATTTTAACTGTTGTTCAGGTTTATGATTCTCATTCTCATTCTCTCTCTCTCTCTCTTCTCTCTCTTTCTTTCAATCTCTTTCTTTTTCTCTCTCTCTTTCTTCCCCTCCCTCCCTCTCTTCTGTCTCTCTTTCCCAAATCTTCCACTAACTATTTATTCTGTGCTCTTCCAGTAGTTTTTCAAGCGTAGAGATCTCCAAACTTGTCAATTTTAACACTTGTGTACTTCACCTCCCAAAATTCCCCAGCCAGAATCCTGGGATTTGAACTCCACAAGTCTTCAAGCTGCCAAAGTTGGAGACCCCGGTTCTAGTGGAAAATAAGGAGGGAAGAGACCTTAGGTCAACACATCCTGGCATATGCAGAAGTAGAAAAATGTATTCCCTCCTCCAAAATACATTCCTGATGACAGATGAAAAATGCTCTCTTATTACCTTCCAGAAGAATGTGAGTTCCCTCAAGGTCACCTTGCCTTATAGAGATCTTCACAAATTTCCATCATGGAATAATCCAACCTTGAAAGGATAAGGTGGTTCTTAACTCAAAACAGATCCATTCTGGGGTTGGACGCAGCCTGTTGGAAGACCGTGAGGTTCTTCAATCAAATATTTTGCCACATCCAACTTGTTAGGGATACACCCTAGCAGAATTTGCATGGCAGGCAGGCAGGCAGGCAGGCAGGCAGGCAGGCAGGCAAATATGTGAGATAAACGTTTTTGTAGCTTACACTCAGTAAAACAGATACACTGTGCTAGTTAAATAGTTTATTCCAGTAAGAGTTTTATCATAGTCAAACAGTCCATATATCATTCACTAGTTCAGTCCGTTCGGGGATTATTCCGTTGCAAAGTCCAGTGTCGAAAAAGAGGTTAGTAAACTTACAAATATCAGTCCAGTAATATATCTCCTCGCAGTAGAGATATAAAGAAGTCAAACCTCCTTTCTTCCTTCGACGTTCAAAAACTCAGCAACAGGGAACACGCAGTTAGCAAACCATCAATCCAGCATAGTCAGCAATCCAGCAGGTTCTCTTGCTCCCTCTTATGGCGGTTTTACAACCGCACCCAAAAATTACATGCTTTGCAGTTTAAAGTGACACACACTTAAACTTACCATCATAGTTTATATATATTATTTAACCCAAACTACGTTAGGTAACCTTGTTATTCCTAACACAACTGACACTTTCTAAACCTAGAAGCACAAAGAGGGTGTCCCAGAAGGTTTAGTGCCATTTTTTTTAAGCTTTGAAAGCTTCATATGTGAAGCTTTCAAAGCTTAAACCTGCACTGAGACTTTTGGACACTGGTGTGAAATCTAAATAGCAGTCTAAATTCTCTTTCGCTTACTGAAAAATCCTTGATTTCCAGAAAAAATATATTTCTTGGCTCTTGGATGTTGGCATCCTTGGCTTGGCATATATATTTTTTTAATTTAATTTTAATTATAATTATGCAGATACAACACAATACATCCAACTTATCCTTGTTATACATATATACATTTTACTTCATCATTTACAATCTCATTTAATATATTAATTACTAATTAATCTAATCATAACTACTAATATTTCGACCTTGTCTTCTACTATATAACCATTGATAAAATTTATTCCATGTTTTATAAAATTTAGACTCTCCTTTGTCTTTTATTTCTAATAAAAGTTAACTTATCTGATTCTGCACATGCCATAATTGTTCTTATTATTTCTGTTTCTGGAGGCATGATTTCATTTTCTAATATTGTGCATATAATTTTAGCCGCCCTCAATACATGTACTATTAGATACATAATTTTCTTCTTACATTTTTCTGATATTTTTTTAAAATGATGGAAAAGCTCATTTAAAAAGGACCCATGCTGGCCTTGTTCAAATCTTGCAGGAAAGTCCTCTTTAGGAGCTGCTCTGTTTCGACTCGTGGAACCAACATCTGGCACAATCATCATTGATGGCATCGACTACCGCAACATTAGCCTGGAATCTTTACGTTCAAAGCTGTCCATCATTCCACAAGATCCTGTTCTGTTTGTAGGTACAATAAGGTAGCTGTTGCAATTATCCATTAACCTTTCCTGCCATTGTAGGGGGGAAGTAGCAGCACGATGGTTCAGTAATTAAGACACTGGACTTGTCAATTGGAAAGCCGGCAACCCAGGTTTGAGATCCAGCGCCACGAGACGGGGTGAGATCCCATTCTCGTTCCAGCTCCTGCCAACCTAGCAATTCGAGAGCTTGCAAATGCAAGTAGATAAATAGGTACCACTTTGATGGGAAGGAAAAGCCCTTTAGGACAGGGGTCTGCAAACTATGGCTCTGGAGCCACATGCGGCTCTTTTGGTCCTCTGCTGTGGCTCCCTGTTGGCTGATCCCACCACTGGCTGGCCCCGCCCCTCGCCCTCCCCTCCTGTCATTCCTTGCCTGGCCTAAGAAGGTAAGGGTGATGGCGGCGGATGGAGACTCACTCCATATTCCAGAGGAGGAGGTGACTGGGTGGGAGTGAGTGATGTCGAGTTGGCCACGCCCACTCAGTCACACTGGTTGTTACATTATTGGCTCCCGGTGTTTTCTGTTCTGTGGGAAATGGGTCCAAATGGCTTTTTGAGTGTTTAAGGTTGCAGACCCCTGTTCTAGGACATCATGCTGACCACATGACCATGGAAATGTCTTTGGACAACGCTGGCTCAATGGCCTTGAAACAGAGATGAACTAGGATCAGCAACAACTAGCAGAGTAAAATTCACAGGGATTTCTTTACCTTTAGTTTTCCTGCCAAAGCATAACCAGACTGCTAATGGTAGTTTCCAGGTCCTCTTTTAAAAAAGGAATCTAAAGGTTTGAAAAATCTCTGGCTTACAATCTGGGGTGACTGGAGAAGCAGGTTGTGAATGAGGACACTTTGCGATTTAATAGACCTTGCTTTCTTTTTTTTGAAGAAATTATTTGCACCAAAGCACCCCTTAACTGACCGGCTGCTATTTCATCCCTTGTCTTTAACGTCCCAAACTCTCGGATCATTTTTTATTATAAGTGGCATTTCTATCTTCTCTGGGCACTTGGGATGACAGAGATGGTCCCAACATCACTCCGTCTTAGCCCTTCCAAGAAGGCAAGGAAAACAGTAAAAGGTCCAGAAATAATTTTCCTGCCAATAGGGTGTAATACAGATAGTCCTTGACATACAGCCACTATTAAGTTCAAAATTTCTATTGCTAAGCAAGGCAGTTGTTAAGAGAGTTTGGTCTCAAGGTGACCTTTCTTGCCAGCTTTGTTAAATGAAACACTCCAGTTCTTGAGTTAGGAACATGGTTGTTAAGCCCATCTGGCTTGTCAGAAGATCACAAAAGTCGATCTCATGATCTCAAGACACTGCAACCATCATGAATACGAGCCAGTTGTCAAACCTCTGGATTTTGATCATCCAATCACGGGGCATGCTGCAACGGTCACCAGTGTGAAAAACGGTCATAAGCCAGTTTTTCCAGTGCTGTTGTAAACTTTGAACAGTCACTAAACGAACTGTTGTAAATCAAGGACTACCTGAAATAGTTTTGTTTTTTTTCCTAGGCCCATCGGGGTTTCTTTCTAACAGACCTTACAATGAACACAGAGGAGGCAGGATTATTTTAAATTAATTTCTTCCTCCTGCTTCGTTTTTTTTCCCCCAGCACTGAGGAACCTATTTCGAACCTCCTAGTCCCTTGATGCTCCATTTATCTCTTTCCCATTTGCAGGGATTTGTTTCATCTTTCCATCACACCCACACATTCCCTGGGCAAATGAAAGCCACAGCCTGGGTCTAATCAGTGCTAGTCTTAACACCTTATGGCGAGGCTACCCAGCGTTGTGCGTTATAATGACTCTGTTGATTAAATTGGGAGAGGGCCAGGCCTTGGAACAGCCCTCCACCCCACGGGCGTATTGCTCTTCCTGCCTCTTTGGTTGTGAAAACTCATCCCACACAGTTTTCTGTGTTATATTGTACGCAAACACAGCCAATAGATTCACCGCCACGTTGAGCCATAAAGTAGCTTATTGAATTTAACCGTTGGGTGAAGCCAGATCCTGGGGCTAATTCCGTGAATAGCAATAACAATAGTACTAAGACTTATCTACTGCTTCATAGCTTTTACAGCCCTCTCTAAGCAGTTTACAGAATCGACCTCTTGCCCCCAACAATCTGGGTGCTCATTTTACCTACCTCGGAAGGATGGAAGGCTGAGTCAACCTTGAGCCGGTCAGGACCGAACTCCTGGCTGTGGGCAGAGTTAGTCTGCAGTACTGCATTCTTACCACTGCGCCACCACAGAAGGGAAGGAAGGAAGGAAGGAAGAATTGAGTCTCTCTCTCTCTCTCTCACTCTGAAGAGTGTACAGTGTAAGTGAAAAAAAGAGAGGCAATGTTTTATACTAATTTACCAAATAGCCTAGCTCAGGGGTGTCAAACTCAAGGCCCAGCTGAGGGCCAGATCCAGCCCACAGGGTGCTTAGATCTGGCAATGGGGCTGCCCTGGAAACACCAAAGGACCGGCTCGGGGTGCCTCTACCAGCAAAAATGGGGCCCGGGGGAGGGGGGCATGTGTAAGCTCCATTTTCACTGGCAGAGGGATGCAGGAGGCTGTCGCAGCCGAAAGCAGGAGCCCGTTTTTGCTGGCGGGGCACTTGGGCCACCACAGGCACCCCCAACATGAGTGATGTTAAGCTGGCCACGCCCACCCTGGCCCCCAAGGTCAAACGCAACCCTGATGCGGCCCTCAATGAAATCAAGATTGAGACCCCCTGGCCTAAATGATACCAGCCAGAGTATAGAAAAAACCTCAAAGAAGCCGTGGAAGTTCAGAAGATGTGGAGAGATCTGGCCTGCAGATTTGCCAAGAGTCGGACACAACTGAATGTAAATAAATCATCATTATGATCATCATCATTGTCCAACTTTAGCCATCCAAAGATTTTACTCCTGGGACCTGCCTAGTACAGTTTGAGTCCACCTCTCTCCATTTAGTCAGATTTGCAAAATAATCACATGCAGCCTACAAATAACGTTAGAGTTGTGTTATCCTTGGACACTTCATTTTTTCCAAACTACCAATTCCTGCCTTGCAGATACAACTTAGATCCTCTTCTGAACCACACTGATGATCAAATTTGGCAAGTTCTGAACCAAACCTTTATGATGAGCAAGGTATGTGGTTTGTGTTTTTGCATATTATTATTTGCTGGTTGTTATAAAAAAAAAGACAGCATGTGGAATGAATAGATCTATAGATCAGTAGAGATAAGGATAAGATAGATAGAAAGATGGAAAGGAAGACAATTGATAGAGATAGAAATAGAAAGAGATATCTATCTTTATAGATACACATACAGATATACAGATATAAATATGATATATAAAGAGATAGATAGATAAATGATAGATAGATAGATAGATAGATAGATAGATAGATAGATAGATAGAT